CTGAAGAATGATTCTTATTGTTTCTAATTTTCTGATGTCTGTTGTATAATCACATGTTTTGATTTCCATCAGCTGGGCTGTCAGTCTGTGATGGAGGCAGCAGAGTGGTGCTGAGGGTTAAAGGGCAAAACTTTGTCATTTAAAAAAAAATCTGTTCTATCAACCTGCTAAGAAAATCAACCTCTGTGTCTCAGTCCGCACATTTACATAATGTCTGCATGTTGATTCATTTTAACCTTCATAAAATAAATACAATTCATAAAGAAAGACAGAAGCAAAGTATGATCCAAATCAAACAAGGTTTTGAATTGGGTTGCATCTCAAACTATTCAGTCAATAAAGTTCATTCTGCCCCAAGAGGAACATCGTACTTCAACCACGCATACGTAGCCGCTGCTGTGAACAGGACTCAAGAACATCTCTGCAGCTGAATGAACCGTTAACCCCAATGTTAACCCCAATGTTAACCCCAGTCTTAACCCCAATGTTAATCCCAATGTTAACCCCAGTCTTAACCCCAATGTTAATCCCAATGTTAACCCCAGTCTTAACCTCAATGTTAATCCCAATGTTAACCCCAGTCTTAACCCCAATGTTAACCCCAGTCTGAACCTCAATATTAACCCGTCTTAACCCCAATGTTAATCCCAATGTTAACCCCAGTCTTAACCTCAATGTTAATCCCAATGTTAACCCCAGTCTTAACCCCAATGTTAACCCCAGTCTTAAGACAACCAGTTGTAAAAATCTGATATTATCAGATGCTTTTAGAGAGTTTGAGTAATTCTTCAAAAACTATTCACTGCGGGTGAAGCAAACGAACACGGTGGGTTTCTATGTCGAAAACATACAACTCTGGCACACACACGTTCCTGAGTTTCAATTAAAGAGTTTAAATGAGCTGGTGTCAGATTCCGCTGACCATATAATCGTGTCATTTGACATTTGAAAAAGAAATTTGCTGAATGGAAACGCTGCAACTTTGAAGAAACTCTCAATTTTTGATTAAAAGTTTTTCTTTGCATTAATTTGAGCCGTGTTTTCTGACCTTATTGAAATTGGTGCATTTTGCAAAATTGTAGCGGAAGCACTTTTTTTTCCAGACCACGAATCGCAGGATCAACAACAAACCACGATGCCGAGGCATGTTATTTTAATGACTTACAGAGTGAACAAAGCTTTGACGTGCGATTTTAATTTAACTTGCTATTCAATGGAAACACAGCAGTTCCAAAACTGTCAGCATGTCGACAGTTTTCTCACATTGCTACTGTCTTCCCAGCCGACTACCATACACTCTTTTACGTTGGTCGATCACAAAGCAATCCTATTAGGAAAAAAAAAAAAGAAAAGAATTTTGTGGTTGTAAACGTGACAAAATGTACAATTTGACTGTAGAAAGGAAGGGGATTCAAATTGAAGAGAGGTGTTACTGAAAAAAGGAAACAAAAGAAATTTTTTTTTTTTTAAAGGATGCCTGCCTCCTCAACCCAAAGTGGGAGTTATTCCCACAGGAGACTTTAAGCTTTCTCTGCTTCCCATTGTACTTTCAGAAACTCCGTAAATCACAGCTAAGCCTTGGATCTCAGAGCAAAATGCTCTGTTGGGATCACACCGTATTTCGACGCGAGAAGGATTTCGACGTTTCCAGGGAAGTTTGGAAAAGAAGAATTTTGTTTGTTTTTTTAATGTTTGCTGTAGCATCGTGGGGCGCATTTATCCGTGGCCTTGGTGGTGGGATGACAGCGCTCTCACTTAAAGCTTCACTCACGTCTCACGGTCGATGCTCGGCGTCGGGAAGGAGAGGCGACGACGTTGGAGTCCATCCCAGCAGGTCAGAGGTCAGCTTACAGCCCAGACTGGATGAAATATAATAACGATAATGATGACCAAAAAAATCTGGATCAAGGAAGTGAAGATTAGCAGAATGACAGGAAGTCAGGGCAGCAGAGGATCTATGGAAAATAACCTGATGATCCAGCATGAAGAGCGGGAGCTAAGAGGCTAATGCTGTGACAACAGACCGGCTCTGATTGGTTGACAGGTTTCAGGTGTGTGACAGAGAGAGAAAACGAGCCAAAGGGGTGAGTGACAGAAAACAAACAGGAAGTAGGAAAAACACTCTTACCGTGGCTGAGTGTCCGTTACAAATGTAGATGAAACGTCATCAACGTTCTGCTAATGTCGAGAAAAACAAAAAACACGCCGTTTCGCCGTTGGGGTGTTTCTAGTAAACAGAAAACGCTATTTAAATCGCACCCAAATAAGTTCGCTGACAACGGCAAGCCATGCTCCAACTACTTCCGGTCGTATTCTTCTTCGTGGCTTTGCTCTGCTGCGACATCCGGTTGTTGATCATGTGACTCGTGGCTTGAAAATAGTTCCTTTTTGGGGTCAGTACGGCAAAATGAATAAATAAATGAAAATCATCCTAGTTTCAAAGCTTTTTATTGAAAGGTGAGTTCTCCCCCATCCCCCCCTAAAATTGGCGAGTTTTTATGAAGCAAATTTATGTTCGTAATTTCAGTTTGCTGACTCCTCGCCGTTCCGTGAACGCAACGCGGCTGCTAATGGAAAGAGAGAACCGACGAGCCGCGCGCGCTCTGAGCGGCTCCTCGCGCGGCTGCAGATGCACATCAAGGTCCGGTGATGGTCGGGAGTTTCCTGATTCGGTTCAGCGTTATTATGCTGCTGACCGGACAACATAATCAAATCAGTCACAATCAAGCCGAGCTGTGGCTCGTGGTAACCAGCCGGAATGAAATAAAAGTGGTCATTTGCATCGGTAATTCAATTCATTCCTGTTAATCCTTGGAGATTCCAGCTATCAGCTTCCGTTCAGCTGGTTCCGAAATTCCAAAATGTCGATCTGATAATAAAAATGGTGACATGTTGTGGAACTGTTAAAGGCCGTACAAGAGCCCGAGGGAGAATCACAGGGCAGGAGAAGAAAACTTCACTGTTTGAGTTTCAGAGTTTTTATTTTGTGGGGGGGGAGGGGCAAAATTAAAGTTTGTTTTATATGGAAATCAAAGACCCAGAATATGAAGGAAGAGTGGAGAGAGGCATATAGTTCAAGCTGCTTGAGCTCCAGAGTTTCCACAGTTAGTGACGATTCGGTCAACCAAATTGCTAAAATAATAATAATAATAATAACAAAAAATAAAAATGAAGGTTCTGGAGTGGCCTAGTAAAAGTCCAGATGTAAATCTGAGACAAATACTGTGCCAAACAGGCTCTTTATGCATGGAGACCATCTGAAATGTGTGAATTTAAATAATTCTGAGGCCGGTAGGCTTGAACAATTTTGTAAAATAATTTATAATCAATCATAAATCTGGATTTTGCATTTTTGTATTTGATGAAACATCAACGTAAGATAAAAGCAAATACAGAAGAAATGTTCAGTGTCGATCATCAGAGCTGCACGTCTAAACTTCCCCGTTCTTTTTTTTCTCATATCTGCCGTCAGGCTGGCAGCGATTAAATAAATACACGAAAGCACAACCGACGCTATTCAGCTGAATTTCATTCTGCTGCTGCACGAACCCCAAATAAGTCTGAGCTGGATGTCTTCCCAGCTCACAGGAAGAGTTGTGTGACTCTTTGCATGTTTCTGCTCTTCTTCCTGTAGCTAAATAAAGAGCGGGTTTCCAAAATCTATGGAGGAGTGTGTGTGTATGTGTGTGTGTGTGTGTGATGATCTCACGTACTTACAGAACAGAAGAGAGGAGAGAAGGACCACTGGAGTGCCAGTTTCCTGTGCAGCTGACTTCGGGATCATCACCTCCTGCAGCTGGAGTCAAATCCTCTTTTTCTTTCTTTATAGCATTTTTGCATTAAAAAAACCAACATATGTCTTTTTCTGGTCGTAGTGAGGTCCCAGGGCTGGAGCTCTATTAATCACCAAGGAAAAAAATTGTTTGCTAAGGGAAGTTACATGATAGATGCTCTGACTCATCAGCAAATATAAACTGACGCATGGTAGATTATAATGTAACTCATATGATTTGGGTCTATAAGTTCAATATGAAGTGGAATGTTGGCAAAACGCCATAAAAAAAAAAAAAAAAAAGAAATATTTGGGGCGCCCCAAATATTGGGACCCTGAGCTGCTGCCCCTTTAAGTTTGTTCTAAAATCTACTTGACAAAATGCATTTTAATACAAAAAATACATATTCCCTCACATATTTCATAAAGACACCTTATCCTACATTTAATAGCCAGTGCTGATTGAGATGAATTTGCCTCTGCTTTTGAACCCTGATGCAATATTAATGTCACAAATTTGCTATTTTGGATTTCCAGCAGCTGGCAAACCCCGCCCCTCCCCCATCTGTTTCCAGGCAGCGAATTACAATGGAAGAAGGTCGAGAGAGGTGAAGGGGAGTCTCAAAATAAATAAATAAAGTAAAACACTCTCTCCAGCTTTGGCTGTTTACATCGCTTTGGCACGTTTGCGACTGTATCCATGACAACTGGAGTAAAGATAGCCGGGATGTCTCGCGGAGGATGCAGTGTGGCTGATCGCTGGATGTGAACCAGAGGAAGGTCAGCGAGGTCAGGATCATCTCCAACCGAACCTGGAGGAGAAATCAACGGTGGACAAATCCAGCTTCTGGTTTTAGAGGTTTGCTCGTCTTTGCCCTCCTCCTAGGAAACTGAACTTGCAACCTTTACCCTTTTAAAACTGTTGCGCAACAATAGATTTGGATCAATATTGCCAATCATCAGCTGATTTACCCATTAGAATCCGCCATAATTAAAGTTTCTCAATTTCACCATGACGATGTCGAACTTACCTTTCTCCTTCAACACAGACTTGCCTTGTTTGCTAGCTTTCTGACAGACTTGATATAAGACGCTTATTTCGGCCGCGTTAGCATTTAGGTATTGGTAATTGTACCACTAGAACTACTAGCACTACCTTTTGTTTTGGTTTCAAAAGAAACTACATAGACAAAAACAGTGACACAAATAAAACAAAGAGATCAACAAGTAAAAGAAATCGTTTAGGTGAGTCTTTCACACAGTAATACCTTAGTTCCACACAGAATGATATACAGGAGGTCATACTCCAACTTTTTTTTTTGTACAGATTGACATAGTGACTTTATTTTATTGTACTTTTTTTTTTTTTCCAGCATGCATTTCAGAATGACAACAGAAGGCGCCACAAATACACACTTGAAACTAGAACTTTCCTCACAGTAAAACGTACGAAACGTGAACTCGGGTCAAAAGCGTCGACGGTCTGAACGCACGACGGAGAAGCACACCGTCAGACTACCAGGACTTCTACCGTCCAGAGCAACGGGGTCATCAACAGCATGACACACACACACACACAAAAGTACATATTCTGGTTTCAAAAATAAATAAATAAACACTCTTTTTTTGTTTGTTTGTTTGTTTCTTTTCAAGTCACAACATCATCCTAGGATTACACAAGAACGGTTCTCCTTTGACAGCTCAAAAGAGTAAAGCAGCGTGTGGTCACTACACAAGGAGGATTGTGTATACGGGGCGATAACTTCAAACTGCAAAGGTCGCTACCAAACAAGCAGCCGGTTTTTGGGTGGGCTTCGTCTCATTCCTGTTCCTGGCTTTTCCGTTTCCTTTCCTACTGTAACTGGCTGCTGAGATCACAGTGTGGGTCGGTGCATTTTTTTTGTTTGTTTTGTTTTGTTTTTCCCTTCCCTCCTCCCCCGTTTCGCTTATTGCAAAGCCGATCTGATCGTGTGGGTACACAGGGTTGCTACAGTGCAGACGCGTACCGCTCTAGACGTCCCGCTTCGGAACGCGGTGAAATTTCTGCTACACTTTTTGCTCCGTCCCCCATAACAGAGTGTGTGGGGTTTAAGATGTTGGGGGAAGGGGAGGAAACAAAGCTTGGAAGAATCAGGTCATGCAGTTGTTGTTTCTCTTCTTCTTTTTTTTTTTCTGTAGCGACCAGAAGTAATGAGGAGTAATGTTAAAGAGTCATTTTGGTTTGCAAAGAGAGAGAAAGAAAAAAAATAAAGTCTGCAGCACTAAATGCACCAGGTAGGTATTGGTGGCTGAGGTTAGCAGGGGTGAAGGGGGGAAGCTTCTTCAATGGCAGCTGCGTCGCAGGGAGAGCGCTTGTGCTAACACTAACTGGAAGATTGAGCATCAGGTCCACTCACTGGTCTCCCCTGACCCAGTGTTTCAAACCCCAGCTCTCCACCTAGTAGAGTTTTTGGGACACATATAGACATACACACTCACGTTTGTGATTTAGTCTACCGAGGCCCCGGCTACGTTACACCAGATATATATATATTTTTATATGATGTCTCCCCCCCTCTTTAAATCTGTAAAATGCTAATAAGAAAAGCTGCTATACCAATTTGGCTCCAGTAGGTGGCAATAGTGTCAACATTCACTGGACTTAAATTTCAAAGAAGATTATGAGCCCGGCCAAAGCAGCGATGAGGAAAACGTTTTCCATGATTCCTTGAAGCTTAATGAACATTCATTTGTGTTTATACATTTATCAACATTTTGGACTGTTGCGTCTCTTCTTCAGGTGCTAATCACGTCACTGATACTGCCGTCAAAGTTTGGATCATATTTAACCAGATTTTATTCATTTTTTTGATATGAAATGGTGCCATCCAATTTCATTGATCGTGTGTCGATTCACCTGTCCAGGCCAGGGAAGACAATTACAATTTTCTTATTTGACTCATTATGTAAGAGAAAGTGAGTCTAAATCACTCCAATGAAAGATATCTATCAACAAACTGTGCTGTATAACCTTTTGTGTCTGATGTAGCATCATGAACTCACATTTTTTACATAGCAACTGATTTCAGGGAACAGGAAGTCTGGTTTACCCCGTTCATTTTTATGTCCATTTACATATAATTGTTTCAGGATATAAACTATATAAAATGGAGTTTGTTTAAATATCTGAAATGGATATAGGAAGGAACCAAAAAGCAATTCAAGGCAACATTACCTGAATCCAGAGTGCATGTAAACACCCCAACACAGACTTGACTTTAAGATCTCAAATTATTTCCAATTGGAAATTGGTTCGTTTGCTGAAGGGAAGTGCAAAGACAGAATAGAGATCCCCGGTGTTAGCGTGGGCGGGGCCCGATGTATGTCACCCAATAAGAAGTAAGCATAGATGACTGTGATGTTGTATTTATTCAGCTTAGCACATTATCTCTCTCTACGCTGTGTATACCTTAAGTAGAGTATCTGATACGATTAACACTCCATTTTCAAAAACACAAAGTGCCTCAACGGATACGTCTTAATACACTTATTGCGATGGAAAGGAGATACCACAGCGAGAAGAGGGATCGATGCCGAGTGTCACGACGTTACGTAGCTACCATAGCATCCACCTCGACACCCGACAGATGTGTGGACAGAGCCACTTGTCCCAGATGTGCTGCAGTGATTGTATTTACAGGAGCAACGTCCATGTCATAAACTTTCTTTAGGACCTGTTTTTTTTAAAATTTTTTTTTTTACTTTTGCCCCCTCAGATAAACAGGAAAATAAAATAACAGCGTGAGAGGGCTTAACATATCAAAGTCCTCCCAGAATTTTTCTTGTTGTTTTACCAATAAGTTTCTTCCTTGTTGGCAGAACAGTAAGCTGGGTTGCTGTCAGTCATTAGCTTCCGTGCAGGGTCCTTCCTCCGTGTCGTCCGGTGGCAGTGGCCTGGTGGCTCCCCGCTGGTGGGTTCAGAGGGCGGTCTCCCACTGCAATAGGTCGCCATTACTGATGACAGTCTTATCCCACTGGGATTCAAAGAGGAATGAACGGTTTCAGTGAAACATCTTTCAAAAACGTCACACATCTCACAAAAAGGACCGGATCGGTCACGCGCTCGAAATGCAACGTGAGATTCTGCGAACTGCGTGATGCATTCCGGTGACGTAAGTGGAGGGAAGTGGAGATGAATGAACAGTTTGCAGTGAAGTAAAGAGAAAAAAAAAGTAAAAATGAAAATTCTTTTTAACCAAGTTTCTTTTTCTTTTTTTTTTCCTTCTTGCCAAGCCGTGTGTAAGATACATCTTGCTGTGAGCCAGTTGCCAGGCAACGACGTGCTTGTGGTAAAGACGCACTGTGAGGATGGGCTCCACATAGTGCAGCTCTTATCTGTCTGGTTTAAGAGTTGCTTCAAAGAAAACAAACAAACAAAAAAACTAACTTTTCAGTGAGTATTTCCTAAAGTGAACTGGTAACATCTAGGCATGGGCTGGGAACAGTTGGCGCTGTCAAGAAATAGCAAGGTTCCTAACAGGCCATTTTGAATCAAAATGCTAAAAGTGCTCATATAATTTCCAGCTATTCTTTCAAATGTGCCTCTGATTATTACTGGAGCCAAAGTGCCAGTTGCTGAATTTTCTCTGCAGACCAAGAATCATGCTGAAAAGGCTTGACTGCCATCTAGCGGCCAGAACGGGAACAACGTCTTGAGATTTTTGAAATACAACAATGTTTCTGCGACAGCAGTTATTATTGATGCTGTGATGCTATGCTAAGCTAACTCACCGCAGAAGGAGTCTGGTTTTCTTTTGTTGTTCTTATCAAGCTGATGATGTTTTGGGTCCTTCTCACAGACTTTGTTTTCCAACTTTCTCAATCACACCAAACACAAACTGTCCCCTTTAAACACATGGCTGACATCGTCTCAAGGTCTTTTTTTTTTGTTTTCTGGAATCATTTAACTCCTTGACTTGGAAAGTAAAGCTGCCCCTCCCTGACGTGTTGCTGAACACTGTTAGTCAGCTAGTTTACACTTTACAATAGAGGACAAATGTTTCAGTTATTAAAAATGGAACAGTAATAAAACAAATGTTTCTGAACTTTATGTTGCCTATAGAAATCTAAAGTAAGTGGGTATTGTTGGTGTGTTTTTAACAATCCCGAACTTAAAATCCAATATGGTTTGTTCAGCATTAGCAATAGCTCCAGCAATAAATTGCTTATTATTCACTTCAGCTTTGAGTTTGTGTTAGTAATTGTTGCATCTGTGATTGTGGCTCTTATTTTGAAGTAGGAAAGGAAGTAGTTGATGAGTTGACAGAGCTAACTGGCTCGAAGAAGCTTTCAATCTTTTACCCTCCTAAGCCTAGAAACATTTCAACCTGAGTTTGCTTGTTTTGTTAATATATGCTTGCGATCTTAACAGTTTAATAACAATGCACTGACGAAAAATGCTACATGTGACTTTCTGAAGCCTTGTGCTTGTCTCTATAATAAAACACCGGCATATTCCAATCACTGCAATGAATCCCGCTTTAGTAAAGAGATACAAGACGACAAACAGAACACGTGTTCTGCACTGAACGCTGATGCCAGGGGTCCAGTCAGATTGTTACCTTTCTGCCATGGTGGTTCCGTCTCCCAAAGCCATTAAGATAGAACGCTGCTCTCTGCTTGTGTGAAACCAGTAAAGACCACCTCTTTGCAGTTATCTGCCAGTAAAACAACCAGAAACACAGCAAGTTTGGTGGCACTCAGTGGAACCAAAAATAAGAAAAATGAAAAAAAGAAAGAGGAAAAGACGCATTTTTATGTATGTCGGCATATAAATCCTCAAGCTTTTCTCCTCCTTCGAACTGTTTGCCAAACCAGGTCCTTGCACAGACACAAGCGCTGGTGTGAGATGAAACTTACACTCTCTCACCGTTTCGTTCCGCTTCAAACCCAAAAATAACACCAAACCATAAAGCAAAGTTACAGTCATGTGGTTGAAATGCTGTGACATCTCTTTATCCTTTTGTCGCTGGAAGCACATCTTGGTTGATGATGTCTAAATATGACAACATTTAATATCCCTGATTAGTACATATGGATCACATGGTGGATGGCGGCTACTTCAGTCAGAGTTCCTTTATTGCAAGTCTCAAATGACAGCGTCGAACTTAAGGGAACTCCAAGTGACAAAGTAGAATAATCGTGTTACTTAAGGATGTTAGCTCATGCTCCTTCCTTGCTTGCTGAGATTTGCCAGCCTGGCAGTTAAGTCTCAGCTGCGATGTAGGCAATATGTGAGTTCAGACACGATGCCGAGGCAGGGAGGGAGGGCGTTCTTTTTAGGTTGGATGCCTCACAGGATGGATGGGATAGGGGAGCGGGAGCGGCGCAGCGGGCAGGGGGAGGTCACGGGAGACAACCGCAGGGTGTTGCAGGCCATGCCAGAAATGTTGTTTAAGCTCCGGGATTTCTCATAGCCTTCAGATGAGAGCGGGGCGGCAAAACGGTGGTGGTGGTGGTGGAAGCGGCGGCGGCGGTGGTGGTGGTGCGGGACATGAACACACACAGGCAGGCAGGCACGAAGGCAGGCAACGATCCGAATCCGAGCCGGCCGATTGAACCGAGACAAGACAGGAGACAGGAGTGAGACAGAGCAACAGCAGCAGTCTGCATGTTGACAACATGCACAGAGCATCTCCTGACAGAGCCTGTGTTCACAACAGCTGCTGTGGAGCAACAGGTAACAAAAGCAACAGAAGAAAATCCATCTTTCTAGCTACATAGACCGCTATCTATCTATCTGTCTGTCTGTCTGTCTGTCTGTCTGTCTGTCTATCTATCTATCTATCTATCTATCTATCTATCTATCTAGATAGTTAGTTAGTTTCACTAGACTAAATAGTTAGTCCACCTAACTATCGAGTTGGCTTTCTATATAGTTAGCTATAAAGCTAACTACCTATCTTTGAACTGACAGCTTTATCTATCAGCTTTGTAGCCAGATAAATATCTAGGCAGATAGTTAGTTATCTAGCAGGGTAGTCATCTATCTATAACTTGAGGGATGGTTATCTAGCTTGATAACTACGTTTGACCTATTGTTCTGCCCTAGTAATTTTTGCTGAATGAGCTTAAATTGTTGGCCAACTACTTCTACGAAGGTTTTCCATGGTTACAGATTAATTTTACATTTGCAGATCTATAGATTGCCATCTCTTCTTTAGCTTCTTTAGAATGTAGGATGTTGAGTTGCTTGTTGAGATATTGCAGCTTACTTCATGTTGCTAAATGTTTATTTTATTTACATAAGAGTTACAGACCGGCTTGAGGTCTGACTTCATCTGCATCACCTCTGAATTTGCCTTAACTTCCTATTATGTTAGGATCAATGAGCCAAATGGATAAGGTCAGTGAAATAAACCACCATATTTATTTAGTTTTTTGGGCAAATCTGTGTCCTGCAAGTCCATTAAAAAAATTCTCATTTTTTCAGTCCATGTAAACTCCACAGCAGCTGCGTTTGAGAACTTGTGGGGCAATAACAATAAATAAAAAATCAGTTTACAGAGTCAATGAAAAAGGAAATAAATCACAGATGCAGTTCTTCTCAAACTGAAGCAGCAGCAGTTATTATTATGAGGTTTTCTTTCGGCATAACAAACAGATCGAACATTATAAGTTTTCATACCCTTTAAAGTTTTTTCACAACTTGTCGTTTTACCAGCACATTCTTTGAATGTATTGTAGTGCAATTTTGTGTGATAAGCAACTGAATATGAAGTGGAAAGAAAATTGTATAAGGTTTTCTTTTTTGTATAATTAGAAAAAATATATATATCCAGCCGTCTCACCCAGCTGAAATGTTACTATGGGGCATTAAAGAATCTCTCAAATATACATGAAAGAATATTTGGCAACACTCCAGGTATGTTTTTGATGAGGGAACAACATTACAACATAATGGAAAGTTGACTTCACATAACATAAGCCCTTTTATTTAAAAAAATCCCTGTGAAATACGTCGAGGTGAAAAAGTTGAAGGAGTATGAATACTTTTGAAAGGCACTGCAAATTGTATTCGTTGCATGTTTATTAAATGCTCACAAGAGCATTTTCACATCCAGACACTTTAAATCAGGCAGAAACCATAATACTACCACTACTATCACTACTACTAATAATAATAATAATAATGGGAGTTTTTATTAAATATCAAAGTCTGTGCATGAATGGAGGTGGCTCATACTGATGATAATGATTTCCCATCTGTATGGATTCACACTTTCAAAACAGGTTAAACTTGAAATCTGCATTCAGTGCAAAGTAAACAAGCAGATGAAAGCAGGCGGGTCGTTAATGCAGCGGACCAATCGGCTGGCACCGGTTCTCAGGAGGAGCAACCAAGGGAAACATCGCGTCGCAAATGTGCACAAAACTTTGTCAATGTTTGGCTAGTGTCAAAAGTCACAATGTCGCAATTGCAGTGTTTGAATTAAATGACAAATCCAATTAAAATCAACGGTGAGCACAGAATGACGGAGATCAGGTTGACTTCTCAGCTATAAACCAAAAATATGTACCAGATGTTTAGAGCTATATTTTTCATTCACTATTTGACAGTGAAGCTAATTAATTGTTTATTTTTAGTTACTACATTCAAAATGGGAGAAATTTCAGGCGTCCTTCCTCAGACTTTCCACAACAGTTTGCTACAATTTGGGTTTATAATAAAATGACAATAAAACTGGTGGAAGGGAATCCTCTCCTGCACACCTTTTCAACTTCGCCTACAAATTCTCATCGGGACCAAGATGAAAACAGGAGAAAAGCTGCTTCTGTTGTGTTGGTGCTTACAACCAAATAGTTCAATTTCTGCTTCATGAGACAATCAGACCGGTGTTAAAACTTGAGCGGTTTTCTCTCTGATTGTAATTTGACGTTTTATGCCCAGTTAGTTCTAGTAACTACTAGAAACACTACATTCAGGTTAAACTTTGTGCATTAGCTGTAATGTCCCTAATTGGAGTCAAAATTTGAATATTGTTCAGAAAAAAATATAAATGTGTCTTTAAACATGTATTTCTATTTCTTAGACCATCAGATTTGCTTGTAAGTATCTTTAAAAAAACATTTTTAAAAATAGCCAATAGGTCAGATGTTTATTATCTGATACGATACAACTGAAGCAAACAAGTCTACTGGCGCGCTGACTGCAGGTGCATCATCGCCTTAGAGACGCATGATACTTGGCAATTTATCTTGCTGCTGTAAATAGGCGATGAATGTGGCAACGGCACAAAATGAAAATTTTGTCAAAATTTATTCAAATGTGTCCAAGCGTCGAGGAAACACGAATAAATTTTGCGAGTGCAGAAAGCAGCAGCTCAGCTCTGACTCAGCCGCGCAGCAGAAGCGTCGGATCCTCGGAACGGCCAAAAATACCGGGATGTTTTTTGGCGCCGCTCACAGCGGAGAAACGAGTTGCGTTACCTGAGGTGACTAGTGTTGAACATAGAGCCTCTCCCCGTCCAGGGATGTCGGCGTACCTGTTGCTAAGGACACGGATCAGCTGATGAGAACTTGGACTGAGCTCTGTCTTTTTAAGGCTCTTTTCTGTATTTCTTCCCTCTCTATATTTAATGCCGCTGTTTAAATACACTTCACACACACAAAAAAGAAAAAAAACTCAGCCAAGTGCAAAGACAAGCAACAAGAAGGAATGCTCTGATTTGGAATTATTTTGGTACAAACACAGACGGTGAATGGTTCAGATGGTAAATGACATTTATTGTCATTTAATGGATATCAAGCAGTTTATTAATGAAGCCTGAAAATTTTTTGCCAAGTGCATGAATAATACTTGACAGCTGTACTGTAATATGGGTCTCATTGTCAGTGCACATGAGGCTAATTGCATCATACAAATAGTTAGCCAGCTAGCTAAATGTGATACCTAAAACATTTTTTGCAAACGCTAGGAGAGGTCAGCAAAACGAAAATGTTAAGACTGTGAAGGATTGGATCACAATTGTGAGTTACTTGTTGTGTTTCCACTTACTAGATTTTTTTGCTACATCAAAATAGATGTATTTCTCAAAACTGCCGCGGTATAACTTTTTTTTTTCGTCATCACAGGGGAGTCACGTGATCAACAGCTGGGCGTTGCTATTGGCAAAAACGACAAAGAAGACAACAGGAAGTAGGAGAATGATGATGGCTCGTATTCAATTTTTTCAGGGAGCAGCTGACGCCATAAGAATGTGCTGAAACCACAGCGCTTCTGTCAAATGCAGCAATTTCCCCAAAACACCGCTTGGTTTGTCTCTCCAACGCATGGATACGATGTCGACTCGACATCTCTGATGGCTGATGGATGACGAGCGTTTGCGCAGTGGCCGAATTATGAATATATCCGATGTTGTTTATATCCGTCGCTGCCATGAGTTTTAATACCTTATCACGTGAACAAATGTAATCACTCTTTCTTTTTTTAATAGAAACACAGCTAAAATGACTCAACACACAGGAGATGATCGTAGCTGGCATGTTCAGTCCGTCTCTGTTCTGAATTTGTACCAAATTACAACCAAGTCAGACTATTTCTCACACCGTGGGTTCTCAACTTACAGAAGGTAATAAAAACATGTACTTCAAGTATGTTTGTTTTGATTCAAATGAATAAGAAAGCACTTACACGTGCAGTTACCTGGTTTTCTCATCCCTCCGTCAGCGGGGCACGTGTAGTCACTGGCAGCGAGGAGGAAGCACGTGCCGCCACTTCGCCGGTCGTGCTCCCGGATGCTGGACCGTCGCATGGGGACCATCTCCTCTGGAGACATGCTCAGGTCGCTGCCAGCGCTGCAGTCTGCCGACAGAACTGTGGGAGGAGAAACTGACATACAGTATGCAGTTCTCCAGTCGCTCTTCTTATTCGTTACAGCAAATGTAAAAAGTTGCAGATGTGTTTTTTTTTTAGTCGTCATTTTTTTTGTTTTTTGTTTTTTTAAGGGGGGGACTTTCCAAAAAGCACCATTATTGCCCAGTGGGTCTCTTATTGCTGAGTCAGGAGCATTGATTTAACTCAAGAGGGGCATGAAGGGCTTTAGATTTCATCTCTGGCTCTATGGTTTCCCAAAGCCTTTGAAATGGCTTCAGAGCTCTTTCCAGTCCAACAAATTTCACTGGCTGCGTTTCCATCGACTATATAATTGCTCCATCTGACGTCTCAAAAATAAATGTGCTTAATGGAAACACTGCAATAAAATACAAAACAAAACAAAAAAAAACCCCTCTTGTTTGTAGATAAAAGAAAGTGAGTGAGTTTTTTTTTTGGCCGTATCAAAATTGGCTTACGAAAGAAACGTCACAATCCCTCCCATCTCCACACTGACGGAGGGCAGCAGACGTCATACATCACAATGCAGCAAGATCTTGTTCAGCAGGGTTCAAAGTGGGGACAGGGGGCCATTTGTGGCCCTGGAAATAATTTCTTTTCCAGCCCCTGACTACACGTCAAGAATGGTGAAACAATTGATGGCCCAAAAATTGTGGAAATTGTCTGTTTTTCTTTTAATAACTCAACAGTTCAAAGCCCTTTTTATGTGTTGGATCTTTAATGATGTACAGTTTCCATTAACAAATTGTTTATTGTTTGGCAGCTATTGTTGGGATATTGAGCAAAATGGCTACCTTCAAAAGTAAAGCTAAAACCAGATGTATACACAGAAAGAGTCATTGTTCTCCTATTTACAAAAAAGTAACTCATTTAAACACACCTGTGTGTTTCGCTATCATTATATTCATGTGATAGAGGTCAAGTTTATATTATTTCCTATAAAATTTGCAATTTATTGAACAAAACCAGTTTATTCTGGCTGTTGGTACGTTTTCCTTAATGTAAAAAAAGATTTTAAACTTTATCTGTTTTGGTCACTTTTAATAGTCAAAATAGCTTAAAAAAATAATAATCCCAAAGTGACAAAGCCAGTCTAAATGTTTTTGATGGAAACATGCATTATGCATCAATTTAAACAATCCGAGTTCAGAAAACAACTTGGTAACCTCAATATCCTACAAGGAGCAGAAATCACTCTGTTCCATTCAAATGTAAGGTTCTGAGATCCAATGGACTGCGAAAAGCCCAGAGGACACACTTACCCTTGGGGATTTCCTCAGTGGAATTTAAATAAATCTAGTACACAAAGGTCAGCGCTAATTTCCATCACTATCAGATGTGTCAGAGTAAATTACCGACATAAACCTGGAGGCAAAAAAAAATAAAAGCAGCAAAAAGCAAAGGATCAGTCCCTAGATGAGGAAAAGCGTTTCTCCTGAATTCTGATCAGCCTGAGCTTTTTTTTTTTTTACTTTTATTTTTACCATCTTTTGCATTGCCTTTTTTGTCACCATAGCAACTGCTGTTGAAAAAAAAAATGTAGTGAAAATAATTTGATGGCTCGTTTGGATCAAAAGGCAAAGAAGTTTATGCAGTTTGTTCCTAAAGTATTTAAACACCCTTTACTTTTCCACATTTCATCCCTTTACAGCCACAGACTTTCACGCGTTTTATTGGTGCTCAATTATTTAGTAGAGAAAAAGTGTACATATTCAAATCCTTTCACGAATAAAAATATTTTAAAAAAATGTGCTGTGGATTTGTAACTAGGCCATTTCATTTTGAAATTCCAAAATAAAAACCTCCATATGCTAAACATCTGAGTTCACCTGCATTTAACTTAATGTCCATGAACGCCTCACAGGTTCATCAGAGAACATTGGTGGACAAACGGCATCTTGAAGGGTAAGGAAAACAGCAGATAGGACGCGGTGTTTAAAATTAGACTATAAATCAGGGTAAGGTTATAAAAACACACCCAAAGTTAAACAACCCAAAGAAGTGTATAATTCATCATCCCGAAATGGAAAGAGCAAGTAACAAGTGCAAACCTACCAAGACAGGACAGCAATTATCACACACTCCCATGGTAACCGTAAAAGCTGTGGCCATTGTTAAAAGAAAGCCATGATCTTTACCTCAAGTCGTACAGAAACAAACATGTCCTTGTAAACAATTTAAAACCATTCGTCCAATTCGCTTCCCAATGCAAGGGCTACTTTGCAGCCTGATTCCAATAAAATATGTCGACGTCTGAGTTGAATGGGGAGAAGATGTGGAAAAGGTCAATGCGGTGTAAGAAAAGAAAGAACCTGCTAAATGTTTACAGCTTTCTAACTGAGGAAGGCATTCGGTTGAATTCAGGAATGATTTTGCATCTGAGGAAAAGTTGTTGGTTCTCAATTTTGAGTTTGTTAGCTCAATACTAGCCTCCTCTGACATGTGCCCTTGGGCAAGACATCGAACTAAAGCGAGTCACTGATCTGCATGTTTGAGTTTGCAGAGATGGTGTTGTAGTGTGAACCAGACTGAGATGTGAAGATAACTGGAATGGCTATAGTTCGTCATTTTGAACAATGTTTCATTGAGGTCTTACCTGAACGGTTGCGTTCTAGTAATCTACCCCCTTTGACGTGGCACAAGTCACCTTGAGTGCTGTTGCAGGTCAAATTGAGGTCCCCTTTACAGTACGTCGGAGAACTTCCCTGCACTGCCTGAGGGATGTGTTTCTTCCTTTTCTTGGGCAGCTTCTGTTTAGCCATGGCCAAAGAGTAGTACATTCCAAAGTTATTGACGATAACGGGCACAGGCATGGCTATCGTCAGCACACCGGCTAAAGCGCACAACGCTCCCACCACCATGCCTGACCAGGTCTCTGGATACATATCTCCATAGCCCAAAGTAGTCATGGTCACCACAGCCCACCAGAAGCCGATGGGAATGTTCTTGAACTTGGTGTGGTCAGTGGCTGTGGGGTCATTGGGCTTGGCACCGATCCTTTCGGCGTAATATATCATGGTGGCAAAAATCAAAACACCCAACGCCAGGAAGATGATTAGCAGCAGAAATTCATTGGTGCTGGCCCGCAATGTATGGCCCAGCACCCTGAGCCCTACAAAATGACGCGTTAGCTTGAAGATGCGCAGAATCCGGACGAAGCGCACCACCCTGAGAAAACCCAAGACGTCCTTGGCGGCCTTCGAAGAGAGGCCGCTCAGCCCTACCTCCAGGTAGAAGGGCAGAATGGCCACAAAGTCGATGATGTTGAGAACGCTCTTAACAAACTCCAACTTGACTGGGCAGAAGGTGACGCGCACGAGAAATTCGATGGTGAACCAGAACACGCAAACTCCCTCCACGTATGTGAGAGCGGGATCGGTCTCAATCTCATACTGCGGCGCCGGGTCCGGCTCGCTGCTGTTCCGCGCGTCGGTCTTGTTGATGATTTTGTTGAAAGCCTCATGGGTCTCCAAGCAGAAGGTGGTGATGGAGACCAGGATGAAGAACAAAGACGCAAAGGCAATGAACTAAAAGAGAAAAAAAAGCAAAAGAGAAGAAACATAATCAAGTTTAAGGTTACCTCAACGTGACATGAAGTGATAAATAAACAAGCTGTTTACTAAGAGATTGATACATGATTTTGTGTTATTAGTACTACTCAGATTTAACTGAGGACTTGAGTGAACTTAAACACTGCTTTGTAATGTTTGTGCAAAACTAAAATTTGAATGTATTTATCGAAACATGTCCATTGCTGTTGGTACGTGAGACAATCGGGAAGCGTAGAAAAGCAACACAAAAGACAGAACTGGTGGAAACAGAAGCAAAAAACAACCAAAGAGTACATTTAAAAAGTTGTTTCTGTGGCTATAAATGCAAACAAGCTGGTAGAAGGCACTAATAACAAGCTGGCTTCAAACAGCAATCCAACTGTTTAAAGGTTTTATAGTTTACATAAATACATAAAAAATGGATGTATTACTTTAAACAGCAATGTTTAAAGTAATAAAGGTAATAAAATATTGTTGTTTAAAACCTCCACACTATCTGTACCACATGAAGAAGAGAACCCGACTCATCTGAAAAAGTTTTAAAAAGCGAAATCAAACTTCAACATCAAGCCGATTCTTGCTTCCCAGTAACCTGTCTGTCTGTCGCAGAATCACAGCTGTACTCTGAGAATCTCAGGCAGACATTGCAAAACGTTTACAGGCGTTCTCCAAGAGCCAGAATAGCAGACTTCCACGCACAGCCTAGTGCTCCTTCTACACTTTCCTCCCACAACCCATCCGCAGTTGTGCTCTGCTGCCTACTGCGGGCCCAAGAAGAAGTCGTTTCACACTCTTACTCTCCTGCTTGGTTTTCTGGATCGTATGACTCACGCACTCTCAAAATATCATTGCCACTATTTGGGTCACCGTTATCTTGAACTGTGCGCCTGCATTCCTGAACATGTTGCTCGTACCTTTACAATTATCCACTTTAAGTTTCACCACACATTTCAACTGATTCTACAAATAAGGCGTTTTTTGACATTCTGTTCAAGGTAGACTAACGGTCGTAAAAATGATTGCTACAAATGATAATGTTGATTTTACACAATTTTCAACTGATGTATTGATAATACATCAGTCGCTTTCTTTGCTGTAATTTGTAGCAACTACGGCTCTACAAATGCCTGAAGAAGGGGGACTACAAATCTATTCCATACTTTTTCACTTCACTGGTCATGGGCAAAAAGAAGAAAAAAAATCTAATATTTTTAGCCGTAACATGAAAAAATGTGGCGTATCTTAAGGAATGCTCTAACATGTCAAAAAAAAAGTAGACTTCTTCCAACCTTTTGTCATGAAAAGTCAACATTTTTGTCCATCTGCGAAACGGAGCAGATCTGGTCCATGTTCAAGAGATAGGGCAGTAATTTTTGTTTTTACATGGACCAAAGCTGAAATGGACCCCTTTGCTGCGCGAATGCTGCTGACTAAGGTACTGAGCTGCGATTTTGTAGCATTTGCTTTGGCAACCCAAAGGACGGGTGAGTCCAGTCTCACCAGCAGATGGACAGTTTTTGTTTTGTTTGAAAAAAATGTTTTATGAAAGACATTAAAAGCTTCTCGACATTCTGATTTCCAGCATACACACACACACACACATCGCATGCTAAATAAGTCCTCCACTTCTACAAATTGCCCTTTGAAGGCAGAGCTGGGCAGCTGTTGCACAGACGGTCCATCTCCGACTGCAGATCTAATTTAGCCCTGAGGACGAGCCCCATTTCCAGGCCATCTTTTTTCATCACATTTCGGGCTCCGGGAGGTTTGCCACTCAGCGCGGCCGCTAACAGCTCAGACGGCTGTTTCACGGGCACAACTGGTGACCTTCACGCCAGTGCCCCGAGAAATCACAAAGGTTTGTCATCATAAAAACTCCCTATTGATTGAACGGAAAGCCACAAAGACAGATTGATATATTGACTGATGACTTTAATAAGCCGCAGAGGGAAGTTCTGTGACTAAAGCTACCTGAGGATGAGACGGTATTGTGCTGCAGGAATGAAAAATGAGAAAAACGACTCTGGGCCAGGCTGAAGCGAGAGGATAAACTCATTCTTGTCATGTCAGTTGATAAAAATTGTCGTATTAAAGGGTTTTTTGTTTTTTTTATCAGAAGAAGAACACAGCAGAGAGAGAGAAAGTTGTGGAAAAGTTTAAAGCAGGGTTTCCTTGAATTAGCTTAAAATTAGCTAACCTAACCAGCTAAATTATGATAAGCTACTTAACTAGTTAAGGAAAGCAAAACTAAACTCAATTAGGTGTGGCTAAGTACCAAAGCGACTTAAACTAAGCTAGCTCTTAGTTTACGCTAACTAAAAACTAGCTTAAACTAAGGATTTAAGCTAGTTATAGCTAGCTAGTTTAGAATGGAATCTGGAATGTGCATGAAATGTCATATATGTCTGTATAAAATTGAAGACATTCAACATATATTCAATTTTTTAAAAACTAAATTCCATGTATGTCTACTAAATTTGTCCGCTATGGAAATCGGAAAACGTACAATACAACTGCAAACGCATGGAGACATGGCTGCCAAGACGATGAGACTTAGCCAGAAAAACAACCAATGTGTCCACAGTGACTGTGGAGGAGCAGTAGAAGCCCATAGGTTGGACAACCTGTCCACGGGATGTCTTGAAAAGACTGCTGAATTTAAATAAAAAGAAAGACTGTGTGAAGAGGTTAAGGTTTGCCTTTTAGCAGGACATCATCGTTCAAAATAAGCTAGAGATCCACACCGTTACTATTTTTCACAAGTGGAAAATGGATAAACTGCTGAGTTTGTATTGCTTGAAAGGGAGGAGAAGAAAAAAATAATAATCAGAGGTCATAGTTCCTAAAAAGCCACTAAAAGGCCTTTAAGCCAGCCTCGCTGGCTTAAAGGCCAGTCTCGCGTCTTCTCTGTGTCTTTTAGTGCCACTATCTCTGTACCAGAATACAGAACAGCAGCTCTTGCAACCGTCTCGTAAACCTTCCTTTTTCATTCTCCTTCTGGAAATAACTCTAAAGCATTTCCTCTTAGGAATCCTGGGGTTTACAATGATATTTTAAACATAAGCAACAGCATAAACCAAACAGGGATGACATCTTTTGGTCTCCAAGGGCAACAAGTAAGGCTTTAGACGTCATTGCTTTCAGTGTGAATGAAAGTGTTTGTTTCTGCTCCCTTACATGGAGTCGTTTTTTTATTTATGTCAACAACTAAAGATGATCTGTCAGACTCAACACTTTTAACCACATTCATGAAACTGGAGGAAAAAGCTAAATATAGCACAACCCTTAGCTTTCAAAAATGCTAAATGTAAAGCAACCCAGAAAAAAAAAACAAAGCATGTACTTTATCAGCCTCATTTTATGATTCGTGCCTTTTCCCTTCTGTTCTGACTTGACAACTTAGTCAGGAATTGAATCACCGCCTCAAACGCTGATGGGATGCGATCGCTGTCACAGAATTTAAGCACGGACGCCGTCGTCGTAATCGCTTCATTTTCCGCTGGACGTCTCTGTCAGACGCAGGGACTCTCTCAGACCTCGGCGGGAGGGAAATGCCACAACAAGCTGCTTCAGCGGCAGCAGAGGAGGGTGTCGACACCGCCAGACGGGGCAAGTAAAGAGCTTTTTGCCAGAAACAAGCCGATCTCGTCGCGTCAAATGTGGTCAGAAATTACTGTAAAATTCCGGATTGTGGAAAACGAATGCTTCCGCTTAAGATTGGATGGGAGGAAACTCTCACTTGGATTTTTGTCAAACTTTGATGAGGCCATTCTGAAAGATAAATAAATATGCATACATTTAAACCATTTTCTGGTAGCTCTGTCTGTTTTAGGGCCATTTTGCCGTGAATCTCCACCCGAATTTGTTGCACAAAAGCTTCCTCTCACCATGTTTCACCATGCATCTCGTTGGTCTAGTCCAACTCGAGCAACTTTCTCCCATGTGTCTTCAGATTCCTCTGCAGGTCTAAATGCATCTTTCCTTCTTCAAAAATGGATTTCTTCTTGCAGTTAATCCATCAAAGATCACACAGCTTGTCAAATGTACAAGCAGACGTTTTTTCATCTTAATTGTACAGCAGAGTGAAACTTCTTGTGTTCTTCAGCAACCAAAAGCAATAAGTTGGTTACAGACAATTGATGGATATTCTTCTCCACATCTTTTCATAACATATTTAACAAATTTCAGCCGATAAAGAGCTCCCAGTTAACTAATTTTAGGGGAAAAAAAAAAAAGTAAATTGTTTTTGTTTTCTACGGAAGAGGATTCAGAATTTCTGAGAAAAAGTCTCAATTATTTTTTCCTATTCCATACTTTTCACAGTTTCTGACCCGACAGAAAAAGAAAACCTCTCTTTTAAATTCCAGTAGGTATTTCATGCATCCCAGCATTCAACCTTTGTTTTTTGTTTTTTTCCAGCCCCCAGACTCTAAAACAGGATCCACTGTCACGGTTCACATTTTACGCCGTATGATGGAAACACATTAGATGTGCCCACTTTGGGCTGGCATTCACTGCACAAGTAAACACACAGATAATGTGCAACCTCCAGGCCTCTTCTCTGCACACACGTCGACCAATCCGAACGTCCGCTGGCCTCGGCTCCTTGGGACCGCCACCATCTGTTTGACCCAGAGGATGGAAGGTTGTGGTCAGTTTGCGGCCAGAGAAAACAAGCTGCCGTCGTGCTAGCTTGGCCCTCTGCTGTGACGACAGCAAGCAAAGCAGAACCAATCACGGCCTTCCTCTCTCCCAGTTTCTGGATTTTTACCCCGGAGCTGAACTCCAGCTTGAGGTTCAGACCCCCCAAGCAGAAACATCCCTCCATCGTCTGATCTCTGCCTGTCACTCAGTGGTGTTGATTCTCTTCAAAGTGCTTCCCTCCCCTTCCAGGCGTGACTACAAGCCGGGATACCGACAGCACGCCGGGATATGACTCTAATCACTAAGAAGACAACAAGAGGATCTTCCCGTCT